CCCCAAAACCCCAAAACCCCAAAACCCCAAAACCCCAAAACCCCTAATTAAAACTCCAAAATTGAAAAATTTAATCTAAACCTCTTTCAAATTTAAGTATTGAAAGGGTAAAATGCTCTGGTTCCGGTTGCTTCTTAATTTTCTCCATTCTCTTAAGTAATTTTGGCCTAAAGATCATTATTTTCTGACTTACATTTCACAGGGTCGTCAGCGATCTCATTCACTTGCTCATGAATCTTCTCTGTTGCCATTTTACTTTTATTCATCAGCAGAGGTCTCCTAAAAATTTAGCGAGTGACTTACCGCCTATGCTTAAAATTTATCAGCTTTTTTCTGATTTTTGCCTTTTTCTTAGGACTAATTTCAGATTTCTTACTACCTATTTTGTTTGATTATTTTTCAAAGAATTGGAGTACCTCTGAATAGCATCCCAAAGTTAACTCTCCTGTTCATGCCAGCACCTGTGGGGCTACCTAACTTGTTATCGGAACTTGGAGCTGAAAGGATCTGTCGCCTATTCATTACTTTGAATTTTACGATTGAGATAGAAACCTTATATTTCTCGGTTTATATCGTAATTCCTTGATATAGCGATAGTTCTTTTTGAAATATTGATCAGATCCTAGAAATTTTAGTCCCCACACGCTCTGCTGGAGGTCTAACACAGGCTGCTTATGAGAAGTATGTAGACCATTTTCCCTATAATGGTAAGCTTAAGAATACTTTTGTTCGAGTTTTTGTACGAATTCGTTCCAGAACTCCGAATTATGGCTAGTATTCCTTGCTTCGCTATTATCCCCATTTGATTGAAGGTTGAAATTTCTCGAGATTTCATAGGACTTGCAGCCTCTAAGCTTGAAGCTTGTGGAAGCCCTAGTCTTATTTATGCTCGAGTATATTATTTTTACTAAATATTAGGCTAGATTTTACAAAGTTGATAATAAATCATTATCTTTCGAAATCTGTGATTGGTCTATTTTATTTATCCTGAATCTTCTTCAAGCTAAATTCTGTTATTGCGGTAACTTACAGTTTAGTAATATTACTATCACTGAATTTCCTATAGCGTTAATGTTTACCTAGTTACTTCTCTAGATGAGGCTTCACATTTTTGCGATTTCTGAAGAATGTCACTTGTGCTTTAGCAATTTTATCTCTATGAAGAATTATGCCTGGTTTGAAGAAGCAAGGCTATTCAATTATTAAGGTATATGATTTAAAAATTACACACTCTAACGATAGTCTTACTTGTTAAGAATATTCCTGTCACTCTTGACTTTATTTCTTACTCTTTTTTAGGTGCTTATCTAAACCAAAGTATCAGTTATAAATCCTTTAAGCTCAGGTATTACTCAGAAGATATGCGAGGTCAATCACCCCACTTTTCATTCTTAGATTCATATTCCTAAACCTTGACATTTTATTTTTAACTATCAAAATCTGCTACTAAAAGGGGTTTTGGGGTTTTGGGGTTTTGGGGTTTTGGGG